TGGAAGGGAATAAAGAGAGGGAGTGCTTGAATGCTTCACCCCTCCTTCCCAAACTTCTCCCACGTTCATAATTCATGGCAATTCTCCAGTTCTGGTGGGACATTGTTCCATTGTTTTCTCACACAGCCACATGGATGGATATTGGGGGCTTTGAGGTGTTCCAAGTATTAGAATCCACTTTATTTCTGGTGATGTACATTAATTCTGCTTTTTTCTTTCTTCCTCTTATTTGAAGTGCTGTACTGTGGAGATCAGAGATCCTGAGGGAAAGAAGAATCCATCAAATCCCCCTCAGGAGCCAATTTTCAGGAGGATCCCTTGGGAAGATCCAAGTCAGGACACCTCAGGAGGTAATGGAAGATCCTCCGATTCCCCATCTGTCTTACCTTCCCTCTCTCTTCTCTCCTATAGAACACTTCCTCCTATTTTGTTAATTATACATTTTGAAATTATTTATTCCTTACAGAGAAACAAAGAATGAAGCTTTCTGATTTTTATGAGGGAAATGAAACAGCGGTTAAACCTCCAAATCAAGTAAGAAAGGGAATGATATTAGATTTCTATTCTCCCTTCAGCAAGTGAGGCGGGTATGCATAGTGCTCTCTCCTTCTGTTTCCCCCCTCGTTTGGCCTGGATTATTTTTGTGTTCTTCTACAACATGGAGAGCAGGATAGCAGGTTCAAGTTACTGTTGGCCAGCATAGCTTCCTCTGCTTATCTTGTTCTGCTAGGTTCTCCTCCAACTTGTAGTTTACAAGAAGCAATTTCTTTTTCACAGTGGCAGGAACTGCTAGAGACCCCCCCCTCCTTTTTAGGGGGGCATAATTCTTTGACTCGGGATTGTGCAAGGCTAATGAAAAATAAATACATTGCTCCATTTCCACTTTTAAAAACCCTCATTTACAACCTGTAGTTCAAAAATTGCAAATTGTATTAAAAAATAAACCAGATTATTAAAATCCAAAAGGAGTGGCTGTGTTGAGCATGTAATCATGTTACTTTGGGCTACAAAATAACTTCCAATCCTCTGATTTATATCTCCATTAGGAGATCAAACATTCCCGCTTTGCAAAGGCTGAGAAATGACTTTCCCGGGGAATTTATTCTTCTTTGCTTTCTTCCTTTCAGTCAATGGCTCAGACTAGTAGATCAATCAATGATAGACAGAGCGATAGATCAGTTGATTCAGAAGTTGGATTACTTTGCTGAAAGGCACTGAAGGCTTTGCAGAATCAATGAACTTGACAAAACTTCCCCAAATATGTCTCTAGTGAAATCAGTTTTCAGATTTGCCCATTTTCTCACCTAAATTTAGAACTTGTGTGACGCACAGCCATTTAACTTAGTGCATATCTTAGCTTTGGGAACAATGGAATGGAATAACGGAGTTGGTAGGGATCTTGGAGGTCTTCTAGTCCAACCCCCTTCTCAGTCAGGAAGCCCTATAACATTTTCCATAAATGGCTGTCCAATTTCTTCATAAACACCTCCAGTGTTGGAGCACCCACAATTCCTGGAGGGAAGTCATTCCACTGATTAATTGTTCTCACTGTCAGGAAATTTCTCTTGACTTGTAGGTTGGTTCTCTCCTTGAATAGTTTCCATCTGTTGCTTCTTGGAACTCTGCTATCGTGTCTCCCGAGTCCTCCTTTTCATGAAACTAGACATGCCTAATTCTAGCAATCACTCTTTATATGTTTTAGCCGAGCGTCTAGTTTATAATAATTGTTGTTGCTCTTCTCTGCACTCTTTCTAGAGTCTCAAGATGTTTTTTTACATCTGGCAATCAAAATTGAATGCAATATTCCAAGTGTGGTCTTACCCAAACATTATAAAGTGGTAGTAACACTTCATGTTATCTTGATTCTATCCCTCTTAATGCAGCCTATGGTTCTGTTGGGTTTTTTTTCTGGGCAACTGAAGCATAGTGCTGACTCTCATTAAAGTCGTTGTCCACTAGGACTCCAAGATCTCAGTGCATTTGGTTTTTCTTTTTCTTTTTTTTTTTTAATAAACTTTATTAGTTTTACTTTTTAAAAAATCAACGACAACACAGCTACAAAGTATAATGCTATGAGAAATAAAAGAAAGTATGCCCAACAAAGTAACTTACAACAAGAAATTAAGGATTTAGAAACCCAATTACAAAAGAACCCCAAAAACCAAAGAATACAGAACCAGTTATTAACAACTAAACATAAACTAAATTTACTGGAACAAGAAAAATTGGAGATTAGTCTGAAAATGACTAAACAAATCTACTTTGAGCATGCAAACAAGCCAGGGAGATGGTTAGCCCACAAACTTAAGAAAACGAAAGAAAAAAGATTGATACACCAATTAATGGATGAGGGGGGCAATATGCAAGAGGAGATAGAGAAGAAAAAAGAGATCACTTCTAATTACTTTGGGAAATTATACAAAAAAGAAGAAGTCTCTGAGGATAAAATAATGAAATACCTGGAGGAAGCGAACGACAAAGCAATTGGAGAGGAAGAGATAGAATTATTAAACCAAAATATAACATGGTCCGAACTGAAGTCAGCAATAGAGAAGCAAAGTAACAATAAAGCACCAGGACCAGACGGGATACCGGTAGAACTTTACAAAATTATCATAGAACAAATTGGACCACTGATGCTGGATGTATTTAATGAGGTACTGTTAGCAGCCAAGATGCCGGACTCGTGGAGGGGAGCCTTAATTTCGCTGATCCCGAAGGAGGACCTTGACCACAGACTTATTAATAATTATAGACCAATTTCGCTCCTGAATGCAGATTATAAATTATTCTCTTCTATAATAGCCAATAGATTAAAACAGGTTTTAAATACTTATATCCATGAAGATCAAAACGGATTTCTCCCATTTCGACAAATTAAGAATAATTTAAGAACAGTGATAGACATTTCAGAATACTATGAAGCCCACCCGGAAAAACAATTTGCATTTATGTTCTTGGATGCTGAGAAAGCATTCGACAACTTAAATTGGCATTTCTTAATTCAAAAAATATATAATATGAATCTTGGCACCAGATTTGAAAATGTCATCACTACAATTTACCACACTCAACAGGCAAACATTCTAATAAATGGGGAACAAACTGGCCCGATAAAAATAGAAAAAGGGGTAAGACAGGGTTGCCCTCTCTCCCCTCTGCTTTTCATATTCGCTCTAGAATCTCTTCTGACGTACATTAGGCAAAATTTGAGAATTAGTGGTTTGAGGATCAAATCAGAAGAATATAAAGTACAGGCTTTCGCAGATGATTTGGTTTTTTTTCTGGAGGAGCCCATAGAAAAAGGACACAACTTATTAGAAGAACTAGAACGATTTGGAGAAGTTGCGGGATTTAAAATAAACAGGGGAAAAACAAAATTAATGACTAAAAATTTAACAGGAGACCAGAATAAAGAGCTAGAGACAACAATGGGAATACAAGTGACAAAAAAAATTAAATACTTAGGAATTTGGCTAACTCCACAAAGCAAATCGTTAAAAGAAAACAATTATGATAAACTTCTCCAACAAACTAAGAAAGACTTAGATTTTTGGAGCAATTTACAACTTTCCTTATTGGGCAGGATTGCTTTGATTAAGATGAATATTCTGGTTTTTCTTTTGTTAGATGGGGCCCAATCTGTCTATCCTTCTATATCTCGAGCTTATCTTCTGGAGTGTTGGTATTCCTATCAATTTGGTCTTCTCTGCAAATTTGATGAGTTCCCCTTCTATCCTCTTGTCTAAATCAATGATGAAGATGAACAGATCTTTCAAATCCTGCTGTTGTGTTCTTTTTCCCGTGTTCAGGAGAATCTTGTGTCCTTCGAGGAGGTGGCTGTGTATTTCTCTGAGGAGGAATGGTCTCAGCTGGATCCTGACCAGAAAGCGCTGCATTCGGAAGTCATGCTTGAAAACCATAGGAACGTGGTCTCTCTGGGTAAGTGTTTTCTAGTCTCCAATCAGGAAGTAATCATGTAAACTCATCAAGGAGAGAAGCAAGTTAGAACTAAGGAGAAATTTCCTGGCAGTTAGTACAATTAATCAGTGGAACAACTTGCCTCCAGAAGGTGTGAATGCTCCCACTGAAAATTTTTAAGAAGATGTTGGATAACCATTTGTCTGAAGTGGTGTAGGTTTCCTGTCTAAGCAGGGGGTTGAAGACCTCCAAGGTCCCTTCTATTCTATTTCTTAACTGAAAACTGATTCTGAGTGAGATTTGAATATCTACAGATAATTTTAAAGAAAAAGATGTTTTCTAGCTATTTTCAAAGCTTTCTTGACTCATGAAAATGGCAATCATCATGTCTATATCACACCACTATAGGCATGCAAACATACAACCTAATGGAATTTCAGAGAAATTCAGAAGGAAATTAATGTGACTTTTTACTTTTTTCTCTAACATTTTCATTTTCCTTTTGCTTTGAAGAGAATAATGGGCAGGAGAATCAAGATTCCTCTGAACTGTCCCAAGTGATCAGTGCTAAAGATGGAACAGAGAAGTTTGGAATTCAAATCGAATTCGAAAGCAACAAGAGAAACCAGTCAAAGAATTGGAATCAGGAAAGCTCATCTTCCACTGATGCTCCAATGCAAGACTTTCTTGCCCAAGAAGAGAAAATAAGGAAAAAATACACTGGAAAAAGTGTGAAGCTAATCAAAGCTAAAGTACAAGTAAATGAACACTATTTAACCCAAAACAAAGGAGAAGGTGCTATAAGAAGACACAATGGAGAGAATTACAATGGGACTTTCATTCTTTCTCTTGGAAATAACTTCCTTACACCTCAAAAAGTGATTGACACAAAAGAAAAGCTTTATAGATGTTTAGAATGTGGAAAATGTTTTAGAACAAACAGGCAACTTACTATCCATAAAAGGATCCACACAGGGGAGAAACCATATGAATGCATAGAGTGTGGAAAGACCTTTGCTCATAGCAGTAATCTTACTTCCCATAAAAGGATCCACACAGGAGAGAAGCCGTATAAATGTATGGAGTGTGGAAAGACATTTACTCATGGCAGTGGACTTACTATCCACAAAAAGATCCACTCAGGAGAGAAACCATATAAATGCATGGAGTGTGGGAAGAACTTTGCTCGGAGCAGTGAGCTTAGAAACCACAAAATGCTCCACACAGGAGAGAAACCATTTAAATGCATAGAGTGTGGAAAGACCTTTGCTCTGAGCAGTAGACTTACTATTCACAAAAAAATCCACACAGGAGAGAAACCATTTAAATGCATGGAATGTGGAAAGACCTTTGCTCTGAGCAGTAGACTTACTATCCACAAAAAGATCCACACAGGAGAGAAGCCGTATAAATGCATGGAGTGTGGAAAGACGTTTACTGACTGCAGTGGACTTACAAGCCACAAAAAGATCCACTCAGGAGAGAAACCATATAAATGCATGGAGTGTGGGAAGAACTTTGCTCGGAACAGTGAGCTTAGAAACCACAAAATGCTCCACACAGGAGAGAAACCATTTAAATGCATGGAGTGTGGGAAGACTTTTGCCCGGAGCAGTCGCCTTAGAAGCCACAAAACACTCCACACTGGAGAGAAACCATTTAAATGCATGGAGTGTGGAAAGACTTTTGCTGAAAGAGGTAATCTTATTACCCATAAGATGATCCATACAGGAGAGAAGCCGTATAAATGCATGGAGTGCGGAAAGACGTTTAGTCATGGCAGTGTACTTAGACGACACAAAATGATCCACTCAGGAGAGAAACCGTATAAATGTATGGAGTGTGGAAAGACTTTTGCTCGAAGAATTAGTCTTATTTCCCATAAAATGATCCACACAGGGGAGAAGCCGTATAAATGCATGGAGTGTGGAAAGATGTTTACTCATGGCAGTGGTCTTAGAAAACACAAAAAGATCCACTCAGGAGAGAAGCCATTTAAATGCATGGAATGTGGAAAGACCTTTGCTCAAAAAGGTAATCTTATTTCCCATAAAAGAACCCACACAGGGGAGAAGCCATATAAATGCATGAAGTGCGGAAAGACATTTACTCAGAGCAGTAGCCTTAGAAGCCACAAAAAGATCCACTCTTTTTCCCCGTAAAAGAAGCCACACAGGAGAGGAGCCATTTAAATACATGGAATGTGGAAAGAGTTTTGTTCAGAATGGTCATCTTATTTCTCGTAAAATGATCCATGCTCGGAGAAAGTATATAGCAATAGCAATTCCACTTTAGATTTATATACCACTCGTGGGTCCTCATTTTAGTGACTTCAGAAGGATGAAAGGCTGAATCAACCATGAGATGGTCAGGATCGAACTCCTGGCTGTGGGCAATTAGCCTGCAGTACTGTATTCTAACCACTGACCCACTATGTTTCTATAGATTTGTATGTGTGTGCATATTGTGCCTTTCTGATCCAAATGAGACAAGGTTGAATCCAGCAAAATGAAAAAATGTCTTTAGACTTTGGAGAAAGCGGAAAGAAGTGCATCTAAAAAACAATCTACCGATTCACTAGTAGATCCAGAAGTGAATTAAAATCTCTCTCCAGCAACTCCCATCTCATCAAATTGGAAGCCCAAAATGTTATCAGTAGATTTTTGTCTAAAATTAGGTGAATTTTGTGTTGGGCCATAAAAATGATTCATGCCATCTGATAGTCTGTTTACCTACTAAAAGTAATCTATATGAATTGAGGATGTGTTCAATAAAATATCACATTGAAACTTCAATTTCCACTGGTTTAAAAATGTTCCATCCATTTTCTTGCTGAAATATTTTTCCTCATCCAGAATTTTCTTGTTCAAATAAAGAGTCACGATTTTCACTTTGTAAGGCCACTGCCTTTGTTTTAGCTATTCCACAAAGATCTTTAATGTGCAAATGGTCTTATTATGAAAAACAACAACCTACACCTGAAATGTTGTTCTTTGTCTGGGTGGCAATCCTATTAGATTGCTGGTTTAAGCATTATAGAATTTGGTGCTATTAAAAATAATCCCTCAACAGAAAGAAAGATTGTTAGCAAAGTACTCTGAGCTGGAGCAAACCTTTTAAGGCCCTTCTTGGGTGGGTTAATCCATCTAAGAATTTTAGCTGAAGACGGGATTAAGAGGGATCTCGTCCAAGGCTCTGCTATAATCTTGGGATCTGCCTTATCTCCTCAGTCCTCATTGCCACGCCCTACCCTTTCCCCAAGAGCCCCCCTCTAAATCCCTGACCCCCTCATTCTGAGCTTGAAAGTATGAGAGAGAGAGGAAGTTTTGGAAGCTGACTCGAAACAAATCTCAGGGGAATCCACCAAATCGGAGGAAAAATGGGGAACTCGGTCACAAAACAGGAGATGTAGAAACCTCAGATGCCTTTGCACAGATGCTCAAAGCACGAGGAAGAAACAAGGTGAAGGTGGAACCCAAAGGAAGGTGTGACGTTGTCATTGAAACTGGGATTCTGTCTCAGCTTGGAACTCTCCTGCAATGGGTGAAAGCAAGAGAGACCCTGCCTGGAGACTGATGATGCTGCATAACGGGGAGTTCTGATTGGTCCTGCTTCTTCTGGCTACTTCATGCTGACTTTGAGAGAAGGAAGCTTTTTTTTTAACCCTTTCCCCTCCACTCTGCTGAAGATGCTACCCAGACTGGGACCGAAACTTCCGGAAAGCGACCCACAAGTCGGGAGGAGGAAACTTCACTCTCCAAACTCCTCATCTCCCACCCAGTCCAGAGCCACCAATTCCGCTTCTGGGGCAGGAAACATCCAGGTCTCCCCATTCCTGGGGGGACGACGCTGGTGGGGCATCACACATGGGCTCTGCTGGGGTCCAGCTGTTGATGGGGACGGCGCTGTCGGGGATCCCTGGAAGCGAAGGTGGGGGAGGAGACGCCCAGGAAGGAGGGGCTGGGAGGGACTCACGGATGCTGGGGGAGGAGGAAGGGGCTGGGACCCCCAGGCGAGACTTGGGGTGGAGGGCAAGAGAGTCTTCAAACCCCGAATTGCTTCAGATCCCCCAAAGTTTCTTCCGTTCAAAGAGGAAGGAGGCGGAAAGCGAAAGGGGGAAGCTGAGGCATTTTCAGACCGGAATCCACAAATGCCGCCAAAATATATAAGAAGAATTTTGGCAGCTTCAGAAATTTCACTTTTTCTTCTGAATCTCAAATTTGAGGCTTTGAAAGTCAAGCAAGAGGGGAGCTCGGATCCCTTTTTGGGAAGCCCCTGAATTTGGGGAGGGGACTGAATTTGTCGGGGATCCCTTTTAATTTCTTGCTGCAATTTGCTTAGAAAGTTGACTTAAAAGACAGAATATTATTTTGAGGAGTGAAAAGGCGTCTTTGGATTGAATAACCGACTCGAGTTTCTTCTCTGCGCCAAACTATCTCCTCCATCCACTGAAGTCAAGGGAGACTCTGCCCGGAGACCGATGACACTACAACAAGGGATTCCCATTGGTCCTCCTGCTCTTTCTGGACACTCCCTCTTCCGAAGTTGGAGGAAAACTCCTCCCCCATCCAGACCCACCCCCATTCCGTCTCTGGAGCTGGGAGCGTCCGCATCCTTCTCCTCTCTCTTTGGGGGCGCTTGTGGGGCAGCATCCATGGCTTTTGCTGGGCTCCCCTTGATTCTTCTAGTGGGGGCGCTGGCCCGGATCCCCGGAAGCGAAGGGGGGAAGGGGACCTCCGGTAAGGAGGGGGGTCTTCCCTTCCAGGAAGGGTCGCAAGCGGAACTTCCCCCCACCCAGAGCCCAGCCAAGACCCTCGATCCTCCCTTCTCTTCCGGCCCAGGCCCAGAATTCAGGGAGGTTCTCCGTCTGAGCTCATCCTCGGGGCCCCCCTCTCCAATTCTCAGCCGAAGGACAAAGGACCTTCCCCGCAGTCCCCATTTCAGGGACCCTCCCCCGAGGCCCCTTTGAGAGGAGGACCAGGCCCCGAGGGCGGTTTGGGAACCTAAGCGGACATAAAGTCCACCCCTCCATGCACACAGAAAAGTCTAGCTGAGAATTGTGAAGAGAGGAAAGAAAGGGGAGAGTCCCCTCAGAGCCTGCCCTGAACCCCACTTGAGCTGCAGCCCCCCCAAGACTGAAGGGATCCCCCCTCCCACTTTCACTTTCTCTTTCTGCGCGGAACTATCCCTCCTTCAAGTGAAGTCACAAAGGACTCTGCCTAGAAACCGATGACGCAAAAGCAGAGAGAATTCCTATTGGTGCTTCAGCTCGTTCTGGCCCCTCCCAGCTCAAAAGTCCGAGAAACGGACTTCTCTCTCCCTCTCTCTCTCTCACGCACACGTGTTCATTTCATGCGTACATTCCGCCGTGGGAAGTGCTGCTGCACTGGATGACAATGGGAGCAGGGGGAGAGGCAGCGAGAGAAAGTCTGGGGTCACCCACAGACATACCCGAAGCAGCAGGGAAGCCCCGGAAAACCCTCGGCTAAACCAGAGAGAGGCGCCGCTTCGTTTCGGGGAAGTAAAAGGCGATTCCCCTCCTTGAAACCCGAGTCTCCCTTGTTTGGAACGTCTGGACGAAGCGGTTCCTTCCGGTATCACCACCAACACCAACACACACCCCCTTTCTTTCCTTCTGTGGGTCAGGAGGGCCCCCCATTTCCTCGCAAAGCGGCCCCGAATGGAGTGAAGTTTGGGGCGTTTCTCCTCCGCTTCCCGCTCCTTTCCTCGGAGAACTCCGACAGGGGTTGGACTAGATGACCTCCGGGATCCCTCCCAACTCTGTTCATCTGTTATCTGGCCACCATCTCAAGCGGTATAAGAAACTATATACTTTTTTTCTACAGAGAAACAAAATATACCTAAAGTAAAACACGTTGGAAGCTTTTCCCCCCAGGAATCTCCGCCTCTTTCGGCCCTGGAGCAGGAAGCGTCCCAGAACGGCTCCTTTTTATTCCTGTTTCACTCCAGAGACTCTCAGAGGGGAAAAAAATGCAGCACCCACCCCAAAAAGCTGCCCCTTCACCCTGCTGCCCCAGGAGAGGATTTGGGGGCTGCCCCAGAGGAGAGGGGGGGGCAAGCTCCCCTCCGAAGCCCCGGAAGACGAGAAGCAACGGGTGGAGACTCTCCGGGGAGAGAAGAAGCGACGGAGAACTGGAGTGAAACTTCCTGACAGGGAGGACAATCAGCCGGTGGGACTCCTGGCCACCAGAAGTTGTGGGCGTTTCGTCACTAGAGGCCCTGAAGAAGAGACCGGGCAGCCTCTTGTCTGGAATGCTGGAGGTTCTCCTGCCTGAGCAGGGGGCTGGACTAGATGACCACCCGGGTCCCTTCCAGCTCTGTTCTGTTCTAACTGCAGGCTGTTCTCGGTTCTGCCCGTCAATCAACCTCCTTCCGTAAGCAGCCTCCATTTTCTTCCCTTCTTGGACCTGGACCTGATTTTCCTTCCGACACTTTCATGGGGTAAAAATAGGAACCCACGACTGGCAGGTGCAACCGAGGAGATTTAATGCGGGGGGAATTGCGCAGCTGCTGCCCAAAGGAAGCGGGAGACACGGACACAAACTTGTACTTTTATATCAATATAAATGTATTTAACATTCGCAGCAGACTTCGAAGACAGGAACATCCTGAGGTAAATCTCAAACAGCCCATAGAAGAAAAAGGCGGGAGAAAAGGGAAACGCCCCCTTTCCACCTACAGCAACCAATCAGAGCGCAGGTCTCCTCAGCCGGGAGCCCGCCCTTACTCGACCACAACGGGGTGTTTGGGACCTTTGTGCGCTTTTCTCCTCCAGCCATTAAATGGGGATATTTTCACATTTAAAGGGTTCAAAAGAAAAAGACCCAAAATGTCTTTGCTTTTGTCCATTAGATTGAATTGTCAGGCTGGAATGGTTTCTTTTTTAAAAAAATCTTGCACTGTACTAAAAAGAAGAAAACATCTTTTTTCTCCTCTTGTACCTCACTTTCTTTTCCTCTCTTTCTCCTTCTTTTAATTTCCTATTTTTCTTTGTGTTTTGTATAATAAATAAATAAGTATAGAAGATCTTCAGACTCTAGAAAAAGTGCAGAGAAGAGCAACCAAGATGGAGGCTAAAAGATATTTTAAAAAACGGTGTGTCTGGTCTGAGGAAAAGAAGGACGAGGGGAGACATGGTGGCATCTTCCAATATCTCAGGGGCTGCAAGAAAGAAAATTTCTCTCTCTTCTCTCCTCTAAATAAATATAGAAGCGGACCTAATGAAAGAGGCGGAGGTGGAGTTGCACTTTCTAGATAAGAAATAACCAAACTGCTCTAGAAAAGCCACAGAAGAAAGACGAAAACCTCCTTCGAGGAATTTGGGTTCATATAAAAGGGGGAAAGAAGCACAGACTCGAAGCCTTTGACAGGGAACCATGCCTTTCCCGCTACTCCCAAGCCCATCATCCCGGCACTCTCCCTTCCCCCTCCCGTCCGCTCCTCTTTCTACCACCCTGGCTCTTTCCCGAAAT